CAATTAATACAGTATTAATTAATACAATTAATACAGTTCGGTATCGAGTAATCAATACAGTATCGGTATCAGATGAAAATAAAGATAGGATAAGCATCACATGCTACATTATTTCCAAATGATGATCGATCAATAATGGCGGAAAAATATTTCTGAATTATTAACATATTCACGCTCATGTTTATCACCAAGAGTTACCGGATAAATTTTGGGAAATGGGAATGAAAAAGGCCGTGTTCATTTTTTTATTGCACGCATAAATATCGTACACAAAATGAATTCTTTACGAATATGGGATCCGAAATTTGAAATGATCCCAATTTTGGTTGGAAGTATAACTCTTCATGTCAATAATTTCTACAGTTTCTATGGAAAATTCCTTTCTGATAACATTTTGACCTGAAATATACATTAATCAAGGAAATCCATTCAAAACATTTCTTTTTTTTTTTTTTTTTACCTTCATTTGATCGGGCAAAAAATTCGTCTTGGTGTGATTAGTAAGAAAGAACTGTGGAATGAATGACTTCTGGTGGTTCCAATAATTCTTTGATGGGGGTAAATCATAACTATAACTTTAGTTATGTATAAAGAGTTAGTCGTTCTTCAACATCTAGCTCAAAATGATGAGAACAAAGAACAAACTCAACAAAGGGAATCTTATCAATTAACCTGTCGCCTAACAGTAAATTTAACCCTGTTAACCCTACTGCCAAAGTCCAGTGATAACCACAAAGCTTTAAGGAAGTTTTGGAGCAGTTTGAATGCTGCAGTACATTCTTAAGAAATCCCAGACATCCAAAAATTGAATTATTTAATGTCCTGTTCGAAGGGAAATGCCCTACAAACAGTAAGAGACTATGATGGACACCGGAAAAGCAGTAGAGTTATAATGAAAATATTATTAGGAAAATCTGGGGAATCAACCCCCAAGCTAAGTCCTATAAAACGAAATGACCGGGAGTGAAAGTCAACTGTCGAGTCAATCGAAAAGGAACTTGTGCAGTTAGAATAGGAGAAAATATAGAACATACTAACATCGGAACTATTGGAAACTAAAATCTCTGGATATGGTGACAAAAAGAGGATGACAAACTATGGTCAGTCACAAAACTGAAACAATTCCATAAGAAATTAATTAATAGAAATGAACAAGTGATGAGAAATCATACCTTAAGTATCAGGAATCAAAGCAAACCAATCGAGTTTAGCTCCAATCCAATCACATAATGAGAATCTTCTGCGTTAGTAGTAATTAATCAACCAAAACTAAATGATTATAAGAAAATTCTTAAATTAACTAAGAATTCAAGTTTAGTTCAATAAAAACAACAAAAACATGTAGCAAATCGAAAAGATCTTGTCCCTTTTGCAACAAGGACCACTCTCAAGCAACAAATTGATTGTCTAAGAAAAATCTGTTGCCTGTTTACAACTGCTTTAAAAGAAGTGATACTGAAGTCGATTGCAAAAAATCGGTACGTTGTTTCCACTATGAGAAACCTCACAACAGTGGTTCTATGCAGCATCAAGAATCAAGAAGTGAAGCAACAAGAAGTTTCATCAGCTGAAGGAAAGTGGGTTACAACGAACAATGGAAACACCTTATATGGGTTATTTCCAGCAATTTGATAAGCATCAAAATATCTCCTGAATTTGTAGAAACTGAGAGTCAGAAAAAAATTAAAACAATTATCACTTATAACAACTGCATTGTTCTTCTAGAGCATTTCTACAGTATTTCATAAGGCAGAAGATACGGCAGTACTTTAGAAATGTGACTCTGTCGTACGCTTATGCTTAGCGTCTAATAAGGCTGAAGTACTAATTTTACATCCTTGAGTTAATTAAATATTCTTCAAACACAAATATACTGTATCCCATTGGGCTTACTATGTACATATGAAAAGGTTTCATTTACGTTTCATTCTTTTCGTTCGTCGTAACAAACTTTAAAACTAAAAGTTAT